ACAGAGAGACACACAGAGAGACACACAGAGAGACACACAGAGAGACACAGAGAGACAGAGAGAATATATATGTTGGGTAGAAGCACATGTATGCACATGTATGCACACATGAGTTGCAGCAGGGTCCAAAGTAAACCTTGGGTGTTGTTCCTCAGGCAACCTCCACCTTGTTTTTTTGAGATGATGTCTCCCACTGAACATGGAACATGCTGAATGAACAGTGTAACCTGGTTGGCCAGCGAGCCCCAGGATCTTCCTGTCTCTGTCTCCCCAGTGCTGGGATCACAGCTGCATGCTGCCATACCTGCCTGGCTTTTTTATGTGCTATCTGGGGATTGAACCCATGCCCTCATGCTGGTGTGGTAAGTACTTTATGGACTGATCTCTCAACCCCGACTGTGATCTGTATGTTTTCTATTATTTCCTTAGTGATTTTGGATGAGCTTCTCCTTTCCTGATGCCTCAGTTTCCTTTTTTTTTGATGCTTCTGTGCTTGGGACTTGCAAAGATAATGAAGCACAAATAGATGGTCAGCTTCTGGGTTCTACCCTGTGTCACTGGGTGGCCTCTACCTATTTCTACTGCTTCGGACAATGCTCTGACTGATGTGCTGTCACATTTGGTAACAACATTGATCCTTGGGGCTTAGAGATGCTTCAGTGAACCAGGTGTTAGAGCTACTACATTTGGTGCTGGTGGCTGACTCATGGGATGCAATGTGCTCAGGGAGCACTGTGCCTGAGAGACACTCATGAGTCAGGTTCCTCCACGAGAGCTGGAGGCAACTAGTTTCCAGAGGTTGTTTTCAAATGACGAACTTCTAGATTGTGTGTGTACATCATCCCAGGGACAGAAATCCCAGGGTCCAGGAAATATGGGAAAGGTCCCCCTTCCACCAGTTGAATCAAATTGAATGAAAATTGCTCAGGAGTCAGGTTACCCAGCAAGAGGTGAACCATGGAGGGGTTAGGCTGGCCTAAGGGACTCCAGGAATTTTGGGACTGTAGGAATGGGACCAGGGAGTTCTGTCCAGGCCATGAGCACAGCTCATGACTGTCTGAGGGACAATGCAAGCTAGGTTGAGCAGACCCTGTCCTGTGAAGGTTCCTGTTGGAGTCTTCCTGGTCTCTCCTGAAGATTTTCATCAACAAAAGCTAATAAAGCATAAATTAATGTGCTATGTTCTGATGCTTGCAGCTGACTCACTGTTCTTAGAGGGAGAATCAGTGCGCTTTGTCTTGCCTCTTCACTGCTCAGCACACTGTGGCATGAGGTAGGCTCTCAGTGTTTACTGACCCTACAGCACATGCTCTGGCCCCTGCTACTGCATGCTTGCAGGCAGTGTTCAGTGGACTCTCAGGAAAGTTGTGTGCGACTGGTGCAGACAGCTGGTGCCCAGCTCTCCCTCAACTGAGGAGGCCACACAGCAGTGCTTAAAGGAACAAAACCCCATAGGTCCCTCAGCCTACACCTCAAAGAACTCACAATTTGAGTAGCTTTTCTCTCTTCATATGGTCCGAGAAAGGTCCATTTCCATTTTTATGATGTTTAATAAAAATGCTCTCTTCCAGTTATCTGCAAATATCTGGGGACTGATGAAGGTCTCAAGCTCTCTTACTGAGGCAGCAAAGCAGGACCCAGAAGACCTCTGGACTTGAAGCCAAGACCTCAGTGTTCCACTCTCACCTCAGAACACGGGGCAGAATACTTCCCTTCTCTGAACTCCTACATCTGTAAATGTTATTTTGATAGGTGCCCTGTTGTTGCTGCTGAACATAAGGAAAGCAAACTTGGAAGTGCCTTGTGGGACACTGGGTAGATGTTGGAGTGCCATTCTCATGGATGCTGGTGCTTCTCTCCACACACCTTTTGTCTCTTACCTCTCCGTCATGGCCACCTGCTCCAGCATGGCAGAGCCTGTATTGGCCTTCCAGTTCCCAGAGATGGAGGTCCTCCTGGGTTAGAACAAACCACACATTGAGGACATTAGGGATCTTTGTTCTTCTTCGCTTTGGTGGATAAGAGATGTTGTTTCAAATACTGGCCCATATCATACACAGAATGTATTTTTGGATCTGTAGCCCATCCTCAACTTGATTTTTCTTTCTGTAATGTCCATTAATGCTGACTGATTTATTTATTCCTGGATGTTGTGTATTGTTTTCCAAACTTCTTTTGAAATTTAAAGATTAAATTGTATTTACTTATTTTTTGTTTATTTTTTTTTATTTTGTGTCTGTGTTTTGTTTGTATGCTGTGCTCCATAAGTGTGCAATGCCCACAGAGACCAGAAGAGGGTATTGGACCCACCGAAACTGGAGTTTATATTATCTGCCCTGTGGATGCTCTGAACTGCTGAGCCATCTCTCCAGCCCCCAGATTAAAATTAAAATATTTTTCTTACCCACCTCAAAATTAAAATTTTAGAAAGGCTGCCACCCCAGATTCTACATGCTACAGTTTGACATTTAGCATCTTATGGTGCTATTGGGAGGTGTGGGAATCTTCTGTAAGTGATGCTTGAGAAAAGGAGGTCTCTCAGGGTCATGTCCTTGAAGTCCTTCTTGCCTCTTTCTTGGCTTCCTGGTCACCATGAAGTGAGCAATAGGAACCAGTAACCATGAGCTAAACCCACTGAAACTGTGAGTCTAAATAAACCTTTCTTCCATTTAAGTTGATTGCCTCAAGCATTTTGTTACAGTGATGGAAAAAATGAGTAATATGTATGACCCCTTGCTTTTGAGGAGAACTAGGGCAGTGTACCACCTGGTGATTCTTTAATTTTTTTTTACAGGTTTTAAAATGTAGGAAAAAATGATCTTAGGGATGCAGTGATTACTTCCCATGGTGAAGAGTTGGGAAGGCTTTGTGACTTCTGCCTGCCTTGCCTTCCTTCTCTACTCCTTTTTTGGACTTTGTTTTGCTGCAGCCATGGCTGTCCTCCTTCTTAGTGGTTGCCCATGCATGACTCCTGTCCTACACACTCACTTTACCCTCTGTCCCTGGAAGGCTTTGTGACCACCTTTCTTAAGTCCCTGCCCATTTTTCAGGCTTTATTTGAATGTGACTCCCTTGCAGCACACCTTCCTGGACTGAATGTGGCTCCCTTGCAGCACAGCTTCCTGGACTTACATGAACTGCCCTCCCCTGCTTCCCTTTCTTCCCCTCTCCCTGGCACAGTGCTTTGGAGTTCTCATCTAACCTGTCCTGATGGAGGAGAAGCCCTAAAAAACAGGAAACATGCTTTACTCCATCCCCTGGGCACACAGTTCCAATGGACTAAGCATGTAGTAGGTGCCCAGTAGCTACTGACTGGGTGAGGTATGATGTATGTTGTGGAAACCCAAGACATTTGGACCCCTGTAATCATGTCCTCAATTAAATGTTCTGTTTTATAAGTGCCTTCATCATGTTGTCTTTTTGCAACAATAGAACAGTAACCAAGACACAGCCTATCACTGAGGAAAGCCACAGCAGGAGGAACTCAAGCAGGAAGCTGGGGGCAGGAAGCAATGCAGAGGTCACAGGGAACGCTGCTTACCGGTAAGCTCTCTGTTGATGTCCAGTTACCTTTCTTATATAGTCCAGGAGATGGTATCACCTACAGTAGGTTGGGTCCTCCTCCTCCAATTCATAATCAAGAAAATGCCCCACAGAAACAACAACATGGCCAACCTGATGGAGGCAATTCCTCAACAGAGTCCTCTTCTCAGGTATGACCAGGGTTTGTGTCAAGTTGACAAAAACTATGACAACAATGCTCACAGGGTCAGCCTACATCCTGGATATGATTTAGTCTAAGAGTATAAAACTGCACCATCCTTAGGCTATTCACTTCCTGCCTTTACTATCTTTGAGACAGAGAACTAACATAGTAAGTTAGCAATGGATCCAGAAAAGCAAGAGAAATTCCAAAGTCACTGGATGTGGCCCCAGAATGTATCCATTGAGATTTGCCTTGGCAGATGAACAGCTTTTGACATAGTGAGTTGGTGGTGAAAGAAGGTATGAACTGAAGAACACTTTCTAGTAATATACCTAAGGCAGCATTTCTGAGTCTTTAACTTCTTCTTGGTAAAATGGGAATAAATGTAGACCTTAGTGGGGTCCTGTGTGAATGACAGGAAATATTCCCATCTTCTCAGCACAAGTGGGCTATACTGTTATTTCCAGTAAGAGAAGATAAAACAAGAAGGCATCCCAAGGGCTGAAGCAGCAGGAACTCAATCCAGATTACTCTCATTCACACAGGACAATAATGGGGAGTGTTGATACCTGAGGACAGCTTTAAATATCTGAGATGTGTGTCCAGGAGCTTTACAAGCATCAGTTCATGTCAGCCCCACAGAACTCAAGGAGATGGCACCAATGTTATCCTTGTCTCTTAATGGCAGCTGCCCTCAAACTGTATTCCATAAACCCTTGACTCCATACAGAGTTCATGGAGCCATCACACAAGTATGGAAGGGCCCATCATACATGTATGGAAGGACCCATCACACATGTATGGAAGGGCCCATCACACATGTATGGAAGGGCCCATCACACATGTGTGAAAGGGCCCTTGTCCTTGACTTGCATGAGATGCAGCCAGTGGGATGTAGGATGGAATGGAGATAGTGGTGAAACATCTATCTGCACTGTCGCTGCCTTTACTTATTTGGGATGAGGTAAGAGAGGACCATTAATTGTGTAGTTTATGAACAACAACTCATTTCTTGTATGTAGTTCTGGAGGCTTGGAAGTCCAAGCTCAAGTTGCCTAAAAATTCATGTTTGGTGAGGACCGATTTCTTTGTCTGTGCCTTCTTACTGTGTCTTCATGTAGTGGATGAAGCAAGGGGTCCTTCTGAGTTCCTTTTCCTAAGAACACTTGTCTTAACTGTTAACTTGACACAGCCTCGGCTCATCTAAGAAAAGCATCTCAGTTGAGAGACCAACCAGATCAGACTGGCCTGTGAGCATTTCCATGGGGATTATCTTATTGTTCATTGATGTAAGAGGGCCAAGCCCACTGTGGATGGCACTATTCCCTAGAGAGGTGGTTCTTGGCTGTATGATAAAGTTAACTATATGTGGGTCTATGAGTCAGCCAGCAAATAGCATTCTTCCATGGTCTCTGCTCCAAATTTCTACTTGAGCTACTTCTCTGACTTCCCTCAGTGATGGAATGGAAGTAGAAATAAATTTATTTTTCCCCTCAAGTTGCTTTTTTCAGAGTGTTTTTCTAAATAATTTATTTTTATTTTATGTGCATTGGTGTTTTGCCTGCATCTATGTCTCTGTGAGAGTGTCAGATCCTAGAGTTATAGACAATTGTGAGCTGCTGGGAATTGAACCCCAGTCCTCTGGGAGTACAGCCAGTGCTCTTAACCACTGAGCCATCTCTCTAGTTCCTGTTCAGAGTGTTTTAACACAGTACAGAATGGAACTAGAACAAGCACTGATTGCTTTCTGGAAGGTTCTACCCTGATGGTGTAATCCCCTCTCTGAACTCTCCTCCTAAGAGTAGAAGGGGTGGACTTCACTTTCGATATGAATTCTGGGTTGGGACAGAAGTGTACAGCCTTGGACGGGGAGGAAAAGCTTCCGGCCTGAGCACCTTTGGACAAGAGTGAAGACAGTAAAACTGAACTTAATGATACTTTCTATAAGCTTGTGTTGTGGTTGGTAGAGTTGTTTCCCACAGTCTCAGGCCCAGGCTGAAACTGTTCACATGGATGGAGGTCAAGTAAATAGCCCAATGAGTGATGCATGGTGGAAGTCAACTTTCTTTCTTTCTTTCTTTCTTTCTTTCTTTCTTTCTTTCTTTCTTTCTTTCTTTCTTTCTTTTTCCTCTCTCTCTCTCTCTCCTTTCTTCCTCCCTGCTTTCCTCCCTTCTTTCCTTCCTTCCTTTTGGTTTATTTTCAAGATAGGGTTTCTCTGTGTAACAGTCCTGGCTGTCCTGGAACTCACTTTGTAGACCAGGCTGGCCTCGAATTCACTGAGATCCACCTGTCTCTGTCTCCCAAGTACTGGGATTAAAGGCATGCGCCATCACCACCTGGCTTGCTCCGTCACCACCCTGCTGGCATAGGAAGTACAGACAAGCAACCAGAGAAGGCAAAATTGTGCCACATGGTACTGGATGAGAGTCTAGACTGCAGCGTGACTCCATTTAGAGTAATACACAGGCAGATGGATATGTAGAGAGATTATGTATATGGATGCATGTGTATGAGTGGGAAAATGTGCATATGTGTGCCCTGGCTGTATATGTTAGGAGGATCTGAAAGCAGTGACACCTCAGTGGCAGCAAGCAGAAAGGCCTAAGTGTAGAACAGGATGTGGGCCAGAGGAGGGTGAATGGTTACAGGCAGGGAGGACACTCTCAGCTGAAGTGTGATATGGTTCTTTGGATGTGGACCAATCCAGGGTCCAGGAATTTCTGTAACCAATGACAAATTGGAGCTGTCAGGCCAGAAGGGCTCAGCCTGAAGAATGCAGAAATGAGGTAATCCTTGAAAAGAAACTGGGGCAAGGAGACACCAATGTCAAATGCAAATTCTAACAATGAGGTGAGGAGGGAAATGATACTGTGGTGGTGCCACAAGAATGCACTGGTCCACCTCACTGGGATGAGCCAGAATGATTCAGGGTGGTGGGGGAGATCTGATCCCTAAGACACTCTGAGAGGACATCTGAAAGCAGCAACAGCTCTGGGGGGGAAAAGTAGGTGGTTGACAGGATGGAACAGAACTAGCCCTTGAAACTGGCTTCATCTCTTTTCTGGGTCTATGTCCTTATTGGTCAACTGCCTGCATCTCTTCCAATGTCCCAGGCAATTGTACAGTTGTAACCAATTGCATGGGTCTCAAAGCCTAAAATCACTCCAACTTTTTATTTTGTGTGTATGTCTCTCTCTCTCTCTCTCTCTCTCTCTCTCTCTCTCTCTCTCTCTCTGTGTGTGTGTGTGTGTGTGTATGTGTGTGTGTGTGGGTGTGTTTGTGTGTGCATGCACTCGTGCACCTGTTGAGGCTGGAGGAAAACCTGGGGTATCATCCTCCAGAACAATATCTACCTCCTTTGCAACAATCTCATTGGTCTGGAGGTCATCAATTAGAATAGACTGGCTTGTCAGGGAGACTAGAGAGTCTCCCATCGGCTTTTCTAGTGCTTGGATTACAAGAGCATATGACCATAACTGTTATTTTGTTTTGTGAGAAAGGGTGTCACTATGTAACTCTACCTGTCCTAGAATCACTACGTAGACCAGGCTGACCTTCAGCTCACAGAGTAATGGAACTAAAGGCACTCACCACCACACCTAGCCTCATACCTGGTACTTTTTTTGTGGGATCTGGGCATTGAACTCAGATTTTTGTGCTTGCAAATCAAGTGATTTACTCATTGAACCACCCTACACCTATTTAAAATCACACACACACACACACACACACACACACACACACACACACACACACACACACGTATGTGAGTGAGTATGGAAGCCAGAGGTCAATTCGGGTGTTGTTTATCAGGAACCATTGGCCTTACTTTTTGAGACAGTCTCTCACTGTGACCTGGGGCTTGCCAATTATGTTAGGCTGGCTGGGCAATGAGTCCCTGGGATCCTCCCCAGGGCTGGGATTATAAATGTGCACCATCATATCTTTTTAGGTGAATGTTAGGAATAGAACCCAGGTCCTTATGATTGCACTTTACCAACTGAACCATCTCCCCAGTCTCTACCTTTACACAAAGATATGTTTTCTTGATGGCCTAGGCAATTCAGGCAGTAAAAAAACCAAGGCAGACAATATATTCATGAATAAGCACAGCTTTGATTGACCTGACATCTTTAGAGAAGCAGGCGACAGCTTGGTTTGCCCACCGGAATCTCAGGCAAAGCTATGCTTCACAGAAGCACATGAACAGACAGATTGTCCAACTGACGGTTAATCACTGAAGCTTCCTGATATGGAGCTATGCCTACAGTCAGGGCTACATGAAGACCACAAGAAAGTCACACTTGGCTGCTGGGTCTCACCATTTGAAGTGGAACCACGAGCATCATTCCAAAGTGAGGGGCACAGAGACCCAGACACAGGTAAGACCTCTTCAAGGGAGAGCCTTCCCACCTACTCAAGAGTCCCACTGAAACCGATGGCCTCAGTCCTAGGCTAGCCCATTCTTTGCTGACTCATCTTGAAGCAGAGGCAGGGGACAGCCTTTGTCATCTGGCATCCACAGCTCTTCTCTATTTCCACCAGGCCATGATCTTGCTCAAATTGCCTGCCTGCCCCCTTGGACTTGCCATAGTGGTTTACTGCCTCTCTCTAACCAAAGTGCAAGTGACAGCTCACATGTGAGAAGTGCTGCAAAAGACTGCTGTGGACTCTTCTTCACTCCTTGGCACTGTGAACACCAGCTTTATATCTGGCTATGTATACGGGGGCTACCCAAATCCCAATGCTTCTGAAATCAGTAATTTAGTGGGATTTTGGCTTGTTTTCAAAATTTCCGATTACCCATGATTTTCTAATGAATTGCCTTAAAAAGAAAATATAATATTCAGAAGTAGTTTCTGTTGCTTTCAAGCAAAGAATTTGATGTGACTTCCTAGTGAGTGTTGTTGGTTCCAGAGAATAACAGATTGCTATTCTACACACACCAGACCAAAGCTTTCTCCTTCATACCGAAGAAAATTCCTACCTTTCAGTAAGGTACTCTCAGTGACTCCTTGATTTGCACAAATCTCTACACACACACACCTTTTATACAGAGGTCTGTCTTGGGCTATCTTCCACAGAGCCAGAGGTGAGGACAAACAAAGCATGATGGTAGAAGGAAGCAGGCTCCTCCCGCCTTCCTCCCAGCCCCTCCCACTGACTCACATGTATGCCTTGTAGTTGGAGCCAATCTTCTGTATGCGAATGTCATACTTGGAGTCGATAAAGGCTTCGGTGGTGGCATAGGTTTTGGCCATGGCCACCACACTGGTGATGTCCTGGTAGTCACGCTGATTTTCTACTTTGATCTGTGGGGTAAGCAGGACAAGTGAGTATGGCTGTCCATCCATTCTCCATGCACACCTGCTCAGACCAGGACACGGTACTCCACCAAAGACAAGGTCACCTGTCTTGTGGGGACACAGACACAGGAGGTGAACAATCTCACTGTCTGCCTTCCCCAGAAACAGAAAAGGAATGGGGCTGGTTGCAGCTGGGAAGCAGGGTCCCTTTAGAGAACATGTGAGCTCCTAAGGGGTTCAGAATGATATACACTTTTGTTTTGTTTGGAGATACAGTCTCTCTGTTGTACTCCTAGAGCTCTCTGTGTTGATCAGGTTGGACTCAAATTCACAGAGATCCTCCTGCCTCTGCTTCCCGAGTGCCAGATTAAAGGCCCCACCATGCCTGGCCTGTGAATTTACACTCTGATGTGTGACTGGATGGTGATGTGGGGGTGGGGACAGCTGTGAGGAACCTCAGGGCCTCTCTGGTAGAGTAGCTGGTCACCTGGTTGCTGTGGGTAGGAATTGGGGACAATGGCTGGATGGCATTCTAGGGGACAGTTCATGAAAGTCCTGTGAGCTCCAATCAGATGCTCAGGTTTCAGCCAGAAGGTACGGAAGCCACAGGAAGAGACTGGCGTTTAAAGAGCAAGTGCTTTAATTGTGTTTTCAGAATAATCACTCAGTTGTGTAGGGGTTGAATGGGAGACTGTGGTGGGCAACAGAGAAACCACTTAAGAGAGACAGGGTAGAAAAAAATGGTGTGTGTGTGTGTGTGTGTGTGTGTGTGTGTGTGTGTGTGTGTGTACATTTTGGGTTTGCATGTATTTAGTGAATGCTACAAGTATGGTATGTTTCCTACATTCATGTGGTATTTGCTGTGTATATCTTGTGCTTATACCTGGTGTGTATACAGTAGTGTGTATGAATGTGTGTTTGGATGTGTGCATGCAGTGGGCGGCCTGGTTTTATAGTTCAGAAGCTTGGGGGAGAAACTTGCCTGTTTACTGGGTTGAGGCCAGGACCACAGGGTAGTGTCTTGAGGTAAGGAAGGTGTCTCAAGAGAGATCCCAAGACCAAGGACAGGGTACAAGATCAAGGCTCTGTGGTAGCAACCTCAAGAGCTGCAGAAGCTGAATCCTAGAGTCTGTGGACAACAGGGTGGAGTGCCCCTTCCAGCTGACCACAGGGATACTGCTTGTCTAGAGTGGCCCTCTCCCCTGCTTTTCTCACGTTGGCAATGGAACATTCTAATGCGGTCTAGCAGTGGAAGTCTGGGTGGGGTTGAACATCAGGGTACCTTCTCCTTTCCCATGTCCCTTGCCCTTTGCATCCCAACCATGACAACACTATCCCTTCAATGGTGCAGTCCATTCACATTTGTCCCAAGTGTATAAAGGCACCCTAATGGGCAAGGCATGCAAGCTATACACATGGTCTTTCTACAGATGTAAAGTCAACGAATTTGAACACAGTGCATACAATTAAACTCTGCTACTAACCAGCTCACAGCTTTGCAGACTTTCTTTTCACCATGAGGGTTGTAAGTAAGCAAGCCTTCTTTCCTCTTCACCCTTAAAGAGTACGATGCTCAGGCACACAGGGCAGAGAAAACAAGGCTAGCCAGATGTCTCTAGGTTCTACTCTCTGCACCTCACAGGACCCCTCTCTCCTTCCAGCTATAGCAGAGGAAGAAGTGTGCCTTTTTCCTTTGCCTTAGGTCTCCCGAGGCTCTCACTGCTGGCTGTTCCCACTCCTTTTAGCCACAGGACCATTCAGTTTAAGCCGAGCACCTGGTCTCCAAGATACAGAAGCTTTTCTTCTACTGTCCTTTCCAAGTGGATGTGGTGAACTCTTTGAGTTCTAGTCAAGGGAAACTAAATAGATGTGGTGTGAGTCACCTCTTGGTGGTCCCTGAAGCTTGAAGAGACCTTCCTTCTCCCTTTGGCTGTGGTGTGGATGCGGTAACATGAGCAGCAGCAGTCATCTTGGGCTATGAGATAGAAGTTGTATATTGAGGATGGCTGAGTGGTAACATGGAGGGAATCTGGGCCCCAGTATTTTGTACCTTTAGATTCTTGCAGAAGAGAGCAATGAACTTTACCTTACTTAAAATTGCTGCTGTTAAAGAAGTCAAACTGTATTTTTGTCATTTAGTTTCAATCTCATTTTTTGTACATTATCATGATGGGACAAGTTAAAAAAGGATCTGCCATCTGCTATTTGGCACTTTGGTTTCTTGCCACTCTCTACTGGCTGACTCTGTGTCTTTATGGTCTTCTCTCAAACCACTGTCTGCAGGTCTCATTCTCTCCCATCACACCGAAGTTGACTTGGCCTCTGTATCGGTATACTTGGCACATTGCTGTGTAAAGATAAAAGCAACTTGAAGAAGGAAGGGCAGGTTTATTTTGGCTCATAGTTTGAGGGAAGAGTCCATCATGGCTGGGAAGCCATTGTGGCCGGAACATGAGGCAGCCAGATCACATTCCATCTATAGTCAGGAAGCAGGGCTCTGGATGGTTATTACCTTGACTTCTCCTTTTTGTCAGCCTGACAGTTAAGGATGGGTCTTTGCACCTTAATTAACCTAATCTAGAAAATCCCTCATAGACACACCCAGAGGTTTATGGCCAAGATGATTTTAGATGCTGCCAAGTTGATGATTGACATGAACCACCCCAATCTCCTCAATGGCGAATCCTGTGAACTTCCTTGGGTTGCATTCTGTTGTGGTTCTGGATAACATATGAAATTGGAAAACCTTTAAAGTTTGGTTTACTGGCCACTACTCTTTCCTTTTTTGGTACCTCCCTTTCAGTTGGTATTGCTTGTCTTGGTGTCTCCAGTGCCCTTCAGATGGCACTAGGGTTTCGTCCTTAGTCAACGACTGTGTTCAGTTGCAGGGATTCAGAGTTATCAGAAGGGAAAAATTCAGAAGAGAGCTTACAGGGTGTGCATAGCACAACCATGCTTCTATTGCTTTGGAAAGAGTGGAGCATTTGCTCTGTGGCTTCCTAGACTCCACAGTATGCATGATAGGCTGTCTTGAGATGTCTAATGTCCACAGCACCCTTCTCTATCTGCAGTCTCTTCTGACCTAGAGACACATGATTGCCAGAATAAATACCACTCTTGCCCTTTCCTCTAATACCTTAGTGTGTCCGTGTGACACATCTTGGTGCTTAGGTGTGATCAAAGAAGGGGTGTGAACTGTAGGAAAAGGCTGGGCTTTCCCTGTTGGCTGGAAAGTGGCCCACTGATGGCTTCATGGATGACAAGTAGATGATTCACATGATGGAAGGAAATCAGTCCCTTGAAACCAGGGAGGCACTATGCCAGCCCTGGGCTACTTTTTTACCCAGTTCTATTAGGGGGAAACAAAAACTTCTAGCTTGTATTGACAATCAGATTTTATCTCAATTACAATCTTAGTCTTAGACTGCATCTGGGTTATTTTTTCCCACAATGGGGACAAAAGGGAACCAAAAGAGAAACTGAAATAATAATGGTTTAATCAGAGAGCCAGTGCATCAGTCTAACTTCTTGTCTGAATGGCTGGAGGGAGGGGAAGAGTGTCGCTCATCCTACCCTCTTTGAGAGCTGGCACAACTCTCCCGTGGGCTCCTTCAAAAGAGCCAAATGTCCCTAGTAGCAGGATGTTCTTTTTTTTGTTGTTGTTATAGAGGGTTCCCAAGATTGTTCAATGCTGGGGCTCCACAAAATCCTGGCTCTTCCCTGGGTCCACTGTGCCTGTCTCCCTCTAGATGCTGAGCTTCTTGGGGATGGACAATGGAATTTGTTTCTAAGTTATAATATTCATACCTATCTCAGTGTAGGTGTTGAAAGGTGTTTTCCTGAATGAATATAGGAAGCTGGATGGAGACTAGGACTTGTAGTTGGAGAGTGTCACGGAAGTAGAAGACAGTGTGCTTTGGGGATGTGCATCTTTTCCACATTTCATGTGAGTGGCAGGTGTCTGTAGCCCATGGTTGGTGTCACAAAACATCCTCAGTCATTCTTCCACATTATTCATTGAAGCAGAGTCTGTCAATCAAAGCCAGAGCTCACCCATAGCTAGTCTTGCTAGACAGCTTTCTTAGGACTTTCCCATCTCTGACTTCAAGGGAGATCTCCTTGTTGGAATTACAGGCAGGCGGCCATGCTCACCCACCACTTATGGGAATCCCGGGGATCTGAACTCCAGTCCTCACACTTCATGGTGAGGGCTTAACCATGAAACCATCTCCCCAGCCCCTGGACAAGTGTGTCTTTTACAAAATGAAGTTTTTCAGATGTCTAGGCTGGATCCACCCCATTAGACAGCTATATCTTCTGTCTGATGTTCCTGGTGACATAACAGAATAAGGAATCCTGGAGAGGACTCTGGGATGGCCCTTAGGCCAGGGACAAAGGGTATTGATGGCCATGGGAATCACAGTTGTGAGATGTAGAGCTGGGCCTGGATGGAGAAGCTTGGTATTCTGCCTGATTGACTGTCTGGTAAAGCCTCCACAGGATCACAAAGATGAGATGAAAACAGGAAGGCCCGAATGAACTGTGGTTCAAAGGGACCATGTGCTCCCCAGAGTGTGGGACCAGAGAACGCCAACTTCCAAGAGCGGCCTCCCCACCCCGTCTTGCCTGCACCTCTGCTCTTTTCTCCCTTCCGTGCCTCCTTTTGCCATCTCACTTCTTCCTTCCTCACCTCATCTTTTCTCTCTTCTTGTAACATCTCTTCCTCTCCCTCTCTTGTTTTTTCCAGTTGTTCCTTTCACCATTCTCCCTCTCATCTTCAGCTTGCCTTTCCCGTCTCTCATAGCTACTCTCCTCCTGCTCTCTGTCTCCTATGACCTCCCCACCACATGGACTCTCAGGGTTTCAGCTGCCTCTCCTTACTGCCTATAGGACTGCTTCCCTTCCCTCACACACATGGCTGTATGTACATGATATACACACCTATGCAAATGGGATCATCAGGGATTCCCATTTGGCCATTTGTTTAGTGCATTGCTGTGGTTTGA